TACGCGAGAAAGACTAGCGTCGAGGGGGATCAGTGCCTGCGAGAGAAAGGAGGAAAGGAGAGAAGACAAGCCCTAACCTGGCAGGAGGACGTGATGGACGAATCTGACCACGTCAAAGCAGCAGATCGCCTTTTGGTATATCTAAGTCGAGACTATCGACGCATCCAACGGTCCACAACCGAACTAATAGCTCAGGCAAGAAGGCTGCGACCCCTAACAGCTACACCTCCTGCCCCGCGCACACACACACGCATAGCGGCACAGACACACAGACAAACACAGAGAACCACACACACACACACACACACACACACACACACACACAGAGAAGAAGAAGAAGAAGAAGAAGAAGAAGGAGTAGGATGAAGGATGGAGCGAGAGCAGAGGATCAATCTCAGACACGCCCTTGCACGAAATACGGGGGCCTAAACAGGACAACACGACTGCTCTCCGTCATCGTCAGCACATTCTAGTCCTTCAACTCCAGCCTCGAACGCCCGCCGTCGACTGCGGGATTCCCGAGCACCTATCCATCCCCCTCCATTCTTCCCCCCCCACCCCCTCTCCCCTCTCTTCTCTGTTTTCCCATTCCCAACCCTCCCCCACACCCCTCTTTTCCCAATCCTCCCCCACAGATAATGGAGTCCTTGCTTTTTCCCAAAACAAGAAACAAACAAACAAAAAAAAATCCTCCCCCCGCACCTCTCTTTTCCCGAAACGATAACTAACTACGTCCGTCCTTCACCGAACCCCCCCTTTTTTTTCTTTTTTTTTTTTACTGGACTTTTGCCACCGTAATATAATATTAAAAAGAAATAAAAGACATGGCAGCCAGAGAAGGCGGGCTAACGGAAGAACGATGCCTTGCTCAGTTGGTACATCCCCGAACTGTTTAAAATTCAGACCGAAGTCCGATTCGAGTCCAGATACAATCATAAATGACCAGAAAAAAAAATCATTCTGGATGGCCTATTACTGTATGTATGTAATCAACACCCCGCCGACATGGATGAATGGTAATTAAAAGAACCCCCCGTCGCCCACCCCATCACCCATCAGCTGTCGATAAGCAGACCGGGGATCGAGTCCTGCGGGGGAATCAGACCAGAATTAGATCATCATCATGACCTCAGTGGCCGCCAGGCAAAAAAAAAATAAAAAAAAATCACTGTGAAACAGTTGGGGCCGGTCACAGTTTCAACAAGCAAACCTCAAAGGTACTCACAGGAGGAAAATTCATTTTCAGAGAGAAGGAAAAAAAAAAACACGAAAAAAAGTGAGGGAAAAAAAAAGAAAAAACAGCAGAGATTGACAGGCGCCGTCGCTCCACTAGACACACGACATGACCGGTGGACAGAAATCATGGCCGCAGTGTATCTTTCCATGTTGTAGGAGAAGATTCACTCTCACATTTTGCACATTCGGAGAGTACTGCACCGAGGGCGATGGACGCGATCGGGGGTCTCCGATGGGATACCGGCGCCGCCGATTGCCGGCCTTACCGATTGTCAAAACAAAAATGGTGTCCTTCGGCGGGAAATCCGTTAAAATTGGAACGATACAGAGAACCTAGACAAGATTAGCATGGCCCCTGCGAAAGGATGACACGCATAAATCGAGAAAAAAAAAAAAATGGTAGCCAATTAGTAATCCGCCTCCGGAGTCCGGAGAAGGTGGCAAGCCTATGTGTGTCGGATGGAGGAGGAGGAAATGACAGCAGGAGGAGGAGGGACAGAAAAAGTGCTAGCGAAATTACAATCCCAGGCAGCCGAGATGGGATCGCGGTGGACAATCTAGCGCAGTACATACAATCCAACCCACGCCCTGCTGAATGCCACTCGCGTGCCTAACCAGTGACGATGTCCCCACGGCAGTACTACTTTTTTTTTTTTTTTTTTTTTTTTTTTTTTTTCGAGAGCCATTACTACTTTTGGACAGTAATGGACCCTTTACGCTTGTGAGAGGCAGGGGGCTAGATCCCACTTGCACGAATGAAGAGATACTGACCGTAGATAGCGAAGATCAACGGCCGAAAACTCCTGATGTGAGCAAGTGGGACCTTGCCCCGGACTCCAGCCGGGGGCAAGGTCCGGCTTGCACGGATTAAGAGATTCTGGCCGTTGATCTTTGTATCTACGGTCAATATCGCTTAGTTCGTGTAAGTGGGACCTAGCCCCGGGGCCAGGTCCCACTAGCAGCGTTGAGTTTCCTCGACGCCTGAATTTCTGGACGTGTCTGTGGATATGTGCAGAAATCGCGTTGAGTTTTCTCAACCGCACATCTCCACGAATGCATCCAGATTCAGGCGTTGAGGAAACTCAACGCTGCTAGTGGGACCTGGGAGCCGGTAGAGTGGCTGGCGATTCTATTTTTTTTTCTGCTACAAAATAGGAAAAAGAATAGGCATCCTGGCGTGACGCCCCCGCCTGACCCACGGAAAAATCGTTTGGCTGGCTATTCTTTTTTTTTTCCTTGTACACACTCCCAAAGACTGCAACTTTTCAAGTGTGCTTTATTCCGCGGGGGGGTGGTCCCCACTAGCAAAGAGGATCAGATAGAAATCCTGAATCTGGCCATGTTGTACGCAGAGATACAGAAAAGCAGTTCGATCTCGATTTCCTGCTCCTGTCCTCGAACACGTCCAGATTCGGGCATTCAATCCGATGCTCTGTTGCTAATGGGACCACCGCCCGGGTGATGATCTAACCCGGCCGGCGTACCCATATGCCGGATAAACCGTTCACAGTCTGACGAAAAAACAAAAAAAAAGAATAGGCATCCTGGCGTGACGCCCCCGCCGGGCCCACGGAAAAATCGTTTGGCTGGCTATTTCTTTCTGCTAGACACTCGTAAAAAGAATAGGCATACCTTTCTCGGCCTTTTGGCTAAGATAAAGTGTAGTGTCTGTTCTGATCGGACCACTACGATATTAAAAAAGAAAAAGAGAGGAAAAGTTTCGAAATGCCCCTGAAGTTTACATTTATTGCCGCGTGCCCCTCTGACGGCCGACTTACCTTGTTGCACCCCTCTGACGACGAATGATGTTTCCAGAAAACCCCTGGCACCGTTTGGGCCTGACACATGTTTCATATGCCCCTACTGGTACCAGTACCAAATTTTCGGTATGCCCCTACCGGATGGCCGTTGAGAACCAGCACAAAAGTTCCCCATATGCCCTTGTTGGTACCGTATATCTTTCCAGCGAGCCCCTGCGGCCATTGTTGACACTCGCAGTCTTTCCCCTGGCCCCGGGAGAGATGCTATAGGAGCATATCAGAAATTTGGCGATGAGCATGGACACACACACACACACACACACACACACACACACACATATACACATCTCCTTTTTAGGAGAAGAAATAATAATTAATAAACCATGATATATAAAATAATAAAATAAGAAAATAAATTAAAAAATAAAAAATAATAAATAATGAAAAATAATTTTTTTATATAAAATATAATTATAAAAAATAATTTTTACTTTTTATAAAAAAATAATAAAATTAAAAAAAATTAAAAAAAAAAAATTAAAAAAAAATAATAAAATAATAAAATAAATATTTTTTTAAAAAAAAATAATAAAATAATATAATATAATTTATAAATAATAATAATTAAAAAATAATAATAAAATTAATAAAAATAATTATATAAGCAGGGTTGCCGGCGTTTGGGACGGACCGAACGCCCGAACCCGAATGCCCGAACGTACGGGACCCCTTCGGAAGGCGTTCGGCCTTTCGGGCTGAACGCGGACAAAAAAAAAAAAAACTAAAAAAAAAAACAAAGTTTTTCAAAAATTCCGAAAAAAAAAATGTTATGGAGAAAAATAAACTAAACAACATTTGCCTGGGCACTACATCCAAATTATTTACCAAATTTGAATTAAAAATCAAATACAGAAAATAAACACTATGATAAAAATAAGAAAAAATAAAAAGAGAATTAAAATGAGTTAGTGTGCCAGCACCTTTTCGACACCGCCATCTTTGCCGATTTTTAATTATTTTTTGGCATTGACAAATGCCCTGAAAATGTCCAGATATGTATTTTACAAATCAATAACGCATTAAAATTGTTTCAAAAAATAATAAAAATTTTTAGGCCCCGAAATAAAGTGAAAACA